CAGCTTCCATTCCCACAGAGCGTGGCATTTATCCGGCTCTGCAAACCCTCTGGGGAATGCCATTTCTCTCCTTCAAAGTGTGTGGAGGGTTGCTGGAATATGGGGTTGAAGCTGGCAGAGATGTAGTCAACACCTCTCACGTTAGGTGAAGATTTCAACTGTAACAAGCAACAGAGAGGGCAAAGTGCTGATCTATGGGATCATGTATTTTATTTAGGCCTGTGTATCTATCTCCCCACTGAACACAACATTCCCGTAGATGTGAGGAACCTTCCCTTAGAGCCAGATCATCACGAATACACCCATATGCCAAATACATCAATTTTTGGGTATCCGTCTTAAAAAATAAAGAAGTAAAAATAAAAGCCTGAATCTTAGGTGTGCCAAAGCCCTACCCAAAGATGGACCTGGAGGCTCTGCCATGAATGATCAGTGGGACTGAAAGATCAGAGATACTGGTTTGGGTTGCCGAAACCTTCTAGCTGCATCGTCTGCTCCTCTGTCCTGCCTTGCTACGGCAAGACAAACTGGAAGCAACTGCCAGAAAAGAAAATTGCTGTCAGGATATCGTGCCTCTCAGTCCTACTGTTTTTTATGTTCTACATCATGCAGAAATCTCTGTCTCGCTTGCATCTGACTGCTAGTGCTTGCGAACGAGGGAGAAGGGTGCTGGGCATGCACAAAGACAGAAAGGAAAGGATGCTGCAGAAAAGATGAGCATTAGCGTAAGCATTCTGTATATAATCTTATTTCTCTTCTCCTTTTTTTTTTTTTTTAGCATCATGGTTTTTAGTGGCTTAATATTATTTTATTGGAAAACCTGACATTTTTAAGATTGCACTTTCAGTTTGCCAGGATCTGCCCTCATCTTTAGGTCTGGAAAGTGCTGTGTATTCTGGATCCCACCCAGCAAGCTAAGAATCCTTTTGCATCCCATCTTCTTCTGATCCAGGTCCTTCAAGTGGGGTGAAGCCGACTCTCTTCCCTATGCAGTCTACGGACATGCCGTGGTATCACACAAAGACCTCGTCTATGTGATGGGTGGCAAAGGAAGCGACAAGTAAGTAAAAAAGCAAGTGAAATCCAGGGAAATCAGGGGATCATTCCCCAAAGCAGAGGGAATCCAGAGCATGAGTCCATGCTTACCTAACCTGAAGGCTATGGGGTGGAAGGAACAAATGGGTCAAGGAAGATCGGCTGGGGTACAAGATGTGGTGTCTTCACCTCTCAGTTCAGCTCTGTTGCTGCAGCTCTTCCCAAGCTCTTAGGAGCCCTACACAGCAGAACTAACACCAGAGAGATGGCATTGCCCTTTCCAGCTGCCCTTTCCAGAGAGCACTTTGCTCCCAATGAGCAAATTCACACAGTTTAGGGGAGGTGCAAGAACATCCTCCACATTTGGACTTTCTTGTCTTCAAGACTAGAGAGCGGCCATGGAGCAGCATGGGCCTAGAAGCCAAAGTTTCTGCAACAGCAGTGGAAAACCTCACCAGAATTGCCCCTAGACCGGCCATCCATCATTTCCTGATAGGAGATGGTGACTCAGCAGAAACTGACTCTCTTGATGAATGTTATAGTGATTGCTTGGCAAGGCAGACGTGTGCCTGTTTGCAGAGCAAACATGGCATAATCCAGCAAAGATAAGCCCTGCTCTGGGAAGATAAAGGTCTGAGAAGTGTGTATGTGTGCGCATACATTCATGCACACACACATACCTCACATTGCCCTCACAAGGAAAGAGGATTTTGTTGTTGACATTTTGCAGCATCAGGCTGAATCAGCGACTCTTGAGCACCATCTGGAAGGCTGCACGCAAGGTTGCGGATAGGCAGCTGAACGGGCCCTGACCCAGTTGTGTGAGCACAAGGTTGAGTTTTCAGTATTCCTACCCAGAGCAGGCACATGTAGGGGGAATGCTCTGCACACAAATGATGTCTCCAGGCAGGGACACGCAGGCCCCCTAAGCAAATGTACCAGTTCCAATGCAGAGAGCAGCAAAACGTTTTCTGGAGACTCCACACTCATCCCAGCTGAATCCCCAAATTCCTGCAGTGCAAAGATGCCACTCAACAGGCAGTTGAGGGCCTCTTTTCTGTCCTGTCTTTCCGTAGGAAGTGTCTGAAGACGATGTGTGTCTACAACCCGAATAAGTTTGAGTGGAAGGAGCTGGCTCCCATGAAAACTGCCCGTTCCTTGTTCGGAGCAACCGTGCACAATGACAAAATCTACGTGGCGGCTGGCGTGACCGACTCCGGCTTGACGAACTCGGTGGAAGTGTATGACATTGCATCCGACAAGTATGTACCGTAGAACACCATCCATAATTTCCTCTCAGCAGCGTCACTCAACACAATGGATGTGGGTCATGAAGCTGCACTGCGGTCCCTAGCAGCTCCTGGTCCATGTGAGGTGTGCTTCACAGATCATCTATTCTTTCCAAAATGAGGTTAAATTAAGATGATCGTAGAATCATAGAATTCTTAAGGTTGGAAGGGACCTTTAGAGACCATCTAGTCCAACCCTCTGCACACGCAGGGTCACCTAGAGCGCGTGGCTCAGGTTTTGCAGGTTTTGAAGATCTCCAGAGAAGGAGATTCCATAACCTCTCTTGGCAACCTGTTCCAGTGCTCCATGATGGAAAGAGATATGTCTAGTGACAGTCAAAGAATGACCAAAGAAGGGTCAGTTCAGTTGTTGGTTACTAATTCCAGCTTCTGCACTGCAAGGACAGGCAGGTTGCTCGAATGTAACACGTCTGATCTCTCACCATGGCAGGTGGGAGACCTTCACAGACTTCCCCCAGGAGCGCAGCTCGGTCAGCCTGGTCAGCCTGTCTGGGATACTCTACCTGCTCGGGGGATTCGCCACAGTGGAGACGGAGTCAGGAGAGCTGGTGCCGACTGAGCTGAACGACGTCTGGAGGTGAAGGCCTTTCCTGTGGCTGTCCCTGGAGCACAGCAGATGGGAGGGTAGCTGCTCAGTGAAAGCCACCAAGGCGATAGATAGTTTTGTTCTTCTTAATTCTTTTGGTGTGAAACCAAGGGCATTTATCCCAACACAAAGCCACAGGCTTGACACAGTGTCTCTAGTTGAAACACTTGCCCCGTGCTGTGCTGGAGGTCACGTTAGCCGATTCAGTGGTCTCTCCCACTTGACAGAGAAACGTAATTGGGAAAATCTGACTCTTCAACATTTTCCTGAATTGACTTTTTTCCCTGAACTGGTTCTGGACCTCCCCTTTGTCTTAAAGCAGTATTAGTGCAAAGCACATTTCTTCCTGTAAAAAGCCAGCACTCAGTTTAGAAATCGAATCTCCTTAAGTGGGACCAGGCAAATGGTCACAAACCACCTTTTGACAGCCGCTAGCACAGGATTAGCTGCCCCTTTCCTTCACTTCTATGGCTCCAGAGCAACCTCAGCAGGCATCTAATGGGCTGCTGGTCTTCACCATGGATGTTGACTTTTGGTGGCATCAATCCCAGGGGAAAAAGATTCCCTCTACTGCGTGACCATTACCTTGTACCCTACTCTGGTGGTAGCAAACCAGAACTGGGCTCCCCATCCCCTCCTACAGACGCCTTGTGTACAACTGACATCCACAGGACATGGAGCCACGCACCAGAAGCTCCCGTTGCTGCAAGGAGTTGCTGAAGGGGGAAGAGGAGAAGCTTTGCCCACTGCAACCTTCTGTTTGTCTCTCCTCAGGTACGACGAAGAACAGAAGAAGTGGGAAGGGGTCCTCCGAGAGATCCAATACGCATCTGGTGCCACCTTCCTTCCCGTGCGCCTCAATGTTCTGCGGTTAACAAAGATGTAATGAGGCACAGTTTATTTCTTTCCACGGGGCTTTGGGATAAGCAGGGAGCAGCAAGGGGACGAGGGGTTGACTTCATGCCTATCAGCATCGGAGTGTGGCAGGGTTTCCCTGCATACAGCGTAGAACATTGCACTTGTGATTGATAGTTACCATTTTATCTAGTCAACCAGGAAAGGAGAAAACTCATCTTGAAGCTTTACGGGAGTGAACCACAGTATATCTAGAGGGGATCTGGAGAATGCAAGGAGCTGGGGATAGAATAATAAACATGGAGCAAAGACCTTGTCCAGTCTCTGTTAGCAGGACAAAAGTCTATATTCTTGTTCCACTTCTTTCTCCAGCTTCTTCCCTCCTTTCTCTAATGAATTTCCCCACTTTTAAGGCAGCAGTGTGGTCCTAGATGCCTCCTCTGAGAGGAAGAGGAGAACAGAGTGAAGGGCAAGTGATTCTTGGGGACTTGTCTGGGAGGGGATTCCAAGGCACGGGAATGCTGGGGGACTCAACCTCCAGGTTGATGATAGTTGTTGAAACAAGACAGTGAAAAGAAAAGAGCATGTGTGCATGGGTGGTAGAAATGCATTGGATATGGCAATATATAAGGAAAAAAAAAATGTGGCTCCCATCTCCACCTGGTCTTTGGGCTGAGGAGACAGGCAATACAAGGCAATAGACAGTTGCTAAGGCTGGAGGAGTGAAAGACCCGTGCAAGCAGTGGGGTACGTGGGACGGAGGCCACGTGTGCTCATCACGTTGCTTTCGGACTGTTCCAGTCAACCTTCAGTCACAGACTGCAATGTCCTCACCTCCGGCCGGGCAAAAGCTGCTTCTCGGGGAAAGGTTTTATATTTATGTTGTTTCACTTATTATTTCTTTTTTTAAAGAATATCCTAGTTTGCAAAGTACATGGAGATTTCAAATGTGTTTGGTTCAAAGAGAGTTTCCTACTGATTTTTTTTTAAGTAAGTTATCCATAATGATGTTTTGATAGAAAGATAACCACACTGGCAGCAGGGAAAAGACTTGCCGGAGCGAAGAACTCCTGATATCCACACCATCCAAAGGGTGTCTTATTTAAAATTAAATTATTAAAATATGGGAAAAGAAATTATCTGTGCATATTTATTGATAGAGCTGTAAAGGCCTGTCCACAGCAACAAAACATAAGGACCAGGCAAAAGGAGGATCAGAAAGTGGTGGTGAGGAAGATGCCTCCTGAAAAGGTGGTGTCCCCTGAGGATGAATCACTTCCCTCTTTCCTGAAAGAAAGAAGGAAAGAAGGAAAGAGAGAAAGAGAGAAAGAAAAGAGAAAGAGAATTACAGGCCAGTCACTTAGAGGACAATCACACTGGAGTGGTAATAAAATATTTTTAACAAGAAAAATAAACCCAAGGTAACAGGCAGGCTGAGATAGGGTAGCTTAAAAAGAACCCTTCAAAATACATGAAACCACACTGCAGAATGATCATATTCTGTTCATGCTTACCTGCAGATGACCCCTTGGTCAACAGGAGATGAAACTACCACATGTAGCAGAGATCCATCGCAAAACAGCTGACAAATGGGTGTCATTTCAACCCCCTCTTCTGTGCTTCTGGCCACAGCTTCTCCATCAGTTCCAACTGTGAACAGGGATTTTTCACTAATCCTCAGTTTGGCTAGATGATTTTGGGGTGGGAGATATTTGCTTTTCTGCAAGAAAAGAGTTTTAGCAATTCTTACTGGAGGCAAAACGGAAAATTGTCTCCACACGTGGTCCCGAGAGAGGCTTTGTTGCAGCACGCAGCTTGGTGCCATTGGAAAGCCCAGCTGCCCAAGGGCAGACAGGCCAGCAGACAAACTCCAAGTGTGCCCAGAGACACTCACCAGCTTCTTGCCAAGTGGTTGCTTCATTCCAAAGGTGATCCCAGGTAAGGAAAGTCACCACTCTGCAAGTCACTGCAGGCATTTCCCAGCACACAGTGACTACTGCACAGTCCCGGACAGTGTGATATCATCACGGTCAAAAGGCACCTCTGGCTTCACTGGCAATCCCGTGGGTATTTTTTCTGGGCAACACTAGTGGCAAACGAGCAGGTACTTCCCAAGGGTGGGGGAAATTCAGTTCTTCTTCCATTAGGTTCCTCATATAGGTGCTGACATGAGCTGGCAAGTATCCCCCAGCTCCATTTGAAGTCAATACAGACGTTGGGTCCTTTCAGATAGATTCTGTGAGCTCAGCCCTGCCTGCAGAGGAGCCCCATCACGTAGGTTGTCCAAATGCCATGCAGGAGAATGGACTCAGCCCTCCCCTCCCATGGTACTCCCAGGGCTGTAATCCCAGTGCCCCTTCCTTCACCCAAGAATCACCCACCCCAAAAATGTTGGGAGTCTTTTTGTTGGCTCACATGCACACATCTCCCACCAAAACCAACCTCAGTCTGTGCACGTGAAAAAACAACTGCTGGGAATATGCCCTAGGAAGTACATCCTGCTGGGCTCTTACGCCCTGTGCAATCACCTGAAAAGATCATTTTTAGAAAAATGTAGTAACAAAGAAAGCAGTGGAGCTTTAGGTTTTCTTTTATAAAAGACAAATCGTTTATTGATTCAGTCCTTCCACTTGCAACCTCTTTGGTAACAGTCGTAACACTACCAGCCTGGGAGAAGGCCGCACAAAGGCCTAACTGACCTCCCACCAATTTCAGCGCTCGGCTACCCCTGACGTGCCTTGGCGAGAGGCCGAAGGCCGGTTTCAGAGCGTGGGCACAGAGACGCATGAAAACAGCCCATCGTGGCCCATCTCACAGAGCAGCCTCAGCACCACCAGGCAGAGGCGGCTTGAAGATGGAGACGTGGTGGGCGTCGGCCGCCTCAGTGGTGGACACCGGCCCTGGTGCTGAGGCCACGCGTGAGCTGTGCCCTTGCAGGCAGCCTTGATGCACCTCTGGGACACGCTAACGAGAGATCTGCATGCTCCTGTGGTGGGCAGTGCCTTCCCCTGGTGGCTCCTCTCCGATGGACTAACCTGGCCGCCGCACCCTCCCCTTCATCACACCGTCCCAAAGAGAGTAACTGCTGTACTTGGAGATAAACATATATCGATTACACATGGTCATAAAAAAAAAGTAATAATAATAATAATAATACATTTCCTAAAACGTTACTTAAGACGCTTCCGAAAAGCATCCAAGCTTCCCCTCCCCTCCCCGCCGTCCCTTATCTATACAGAATAAAGTGCTTCATTAAGTTTGTTCACACTAGTAGAGCCACCGATACACTCTGAACTTGGCGTGTTTGGGCAACCGATACTGAATGCCGGAAAATACTACAGAGCCAAACATCAGGCATGAGAAACTAGTTTTGAGGCAAGTGCTTGGGCTTTCATATTTTTTTCCTTCAAGTTCCATGCTATTGAGGTTGCTCCTATTTGTTTCCTGTTTTTTATTATTATTTTTCTTCCTATTTAAGTTCTGCCCAACTCCACCGTGTTTACGTGCCACTAGGCAGGGCTGTGCAGGGAAGCTGTCTCCGTCCGTGCGAACTGAGGGCGTCCGCCTGTCCGTCCTTCCCTCCCGACTTCTGGCAAAACCAAGAGTCAAATCGGTGGAGTTGTCTAGCAGCGGATGCTAATCTCTATTGCACTGTCACAGCCGTTTTTCCACTCGACGTCCATCCGTCACCTTTCCCAACGCGCTCAGGTTATGGCTGTGGTCCGAAGGGCCAGCCGTGCCTCGTGGACACTGAGGCAAACTGGTCTGTGCTACCAGGCTCCTGGGATATATAAAACAAAAAACAACCCCCACGCGCGACTCCCTCCCTCCCCAGAGTTCAACCAAAGAGGAGAAAGAAGAAGAAAAATATAAAGGGTCGGGGGCAGCGTGTGGGCACGGCTGTCAGCTGAACGTTGCTTTGCAGAGTATTCGTCGGCTGCATAATGGAAATTAAGCCCCTCTCCACCCTCATGGTCTGGTGAAGAAGGGATGTGAGAGATTAAGGTGCAAGAGTTAAAAAATAAAATAAAATAAAATACAAAAAGCTTGAAAACAACAGGACCCAACTCCCCCTGCATCCCACCCTAATGCAACAGGTGCCAGAGGGGTCTGATTCTGGGATGAACTGGGCCAAGACACTGCTAGAGTGACTCTTTTCAGGTCTTAATACATTAACAGAAAGTAGACATCAAAGGACACACAGGGACTGAATAAGGGTGTAGACAAAAGGGTTCAGAGGCCATGCAGGAGCTGCCCAGGCCTTGGAGTAGGGGAGGGAGCAGCAGGGATCTGGTTCTCCAAAGTGCTGTGTGCATGGTCACATCTCAACGTCTCCAAGCAGCTCTCCGGGCAGGGTCTCAAAGATGTTTAGACGTGGCTAAATCAGTCCCTGGGCTTTCGGTGCACGCGGCGAACCCAAGCTGCTGCGGGATGAGTACCAGCAAGTGCTCCCTCCCACTTCTCCTCTCCAAAGCCATCGTGACACCATTAGCCTCAAGGAGGATCTCTCATCTCACGGCGGTGTCCAAGCCCTTACAGGGACAGGAAGGGCTGCGGACAGGGGAACGTCTTTAGATAAGCAGTAATTTTGGGGTAAATGTTGGTGGGGAAGAATATACTCACGCCAACATGAGCAGGTAAAGGAGAAGGCCAAGTTTATCAGCTGGGCAAGCTGACAGTCTCATCGCAAGATGAAGACTGTACAGGCAAGGCTGGCTTTTCTCATAGTGCATGGCTCCTACCTGGTCTCAAAGCTAAGGAGGGTGAGGGAAAAGGAATGGTAGGGAGCCCCATCAGATGGGGTCTGGAAGACAGCAGAGAAGACGACATGGACTACTCTACCGGAGCCCTCCAACAGCTCTGAGTAAGCTCCTCCAAAGCCATCATCTCCCAGGCTGGGTTCTGCTCCCTCCAGGAAGCCAACAGCTCTACCAGCTGAATGACCAAGTCCCTCATGGGAGTGGAGTGCATTTCCAAAGACACTGCACCATCCTGATAAATCCCAGGCACGCATGGAAGAAGGACAGCAAAGGAGCATTTGAGACCCATCTAAGATAAGATACCTCAAAGCAACTCATTCATATCTTTCTCCCCTTGTACAAAGCAGATATGAGTGCATGTGAACTCACTCAGAGACTGACTGCAACACCAGGGCTCCAGAGGTGACACCAGTCACCTAACTTGTCACTTCAAACACCACTCACGGGAACAGCCACAGTCCCAACCCACTCACCCACACACTCCTGTACATCCTCCTTTCGCAAAACACTTGAGGATGTGGCTAAATCCTCCTGGTTCTGCAATTAAATGGTGCCCAAGTGCTTTGCTAACTTGGCTGAAAAGCACCCCAAATGTCTTGGTCTTCACCTCTCTCTGTCCAAGATGCTCTGCAGCTCCTGCAGTGGTCCCAAAACGCCTGGCTCCAAAGACAACATGTCCTTGGGTACTCATGAGGGCAACTGCAGTGACACTACACAGTTGGGGTTAGACCAATGCTAGACCTGGGAAAATCATAACAGCAGGAGAGCCAACGTGTATCAGAGCATCCGACAACAACAGCAAAAAGAAAAGAAAACAAAACATTAACAGCAAAGCCTGCCTGGACTTTTCTCCCCAGCCAGGTGGCAGCCACTAGAGACCACAGCTCCTCTGCTCCTGCCCTGCCTGCATAAAGCAAGTCTGAATTAGTGAAGGCAAAGACCAGCTCAGCCTCACCATCCTTCAGCATATAGGGAGAGGAGGGTCCAAGTACAATGTGGCCACAGAGATCCTAGTCAATGCTGTGGGGCTTGACTGAATCAACCCCAGGGCTCTGTCACGAGGCTTGGGCAAGTTCCTCTGGTCTCCCAAAGGTCCTCGCTGCACCAGAAACGTCCTGAATCAGCCAAACCAGAGGCAAGGAGAGCACTGTCTGCCAATGCCCCAACCCTGGTGGGGAAGCAAAGCCTGGGAGAGCCACAGGGACTGTTCTCACATGGCAAAACATTAGGGGACGGGATGCTTCAGCTCTAATCCCTGCAATGAGATCCAGCTTGCGAAGTTCAATGACAAGTCCCAGCAAACATCTGGAGATGGCTCGTCGGCCACTTACTTATTCGAATTGTTAAGGCACTATTCTGGACTGATTCTCCCAAGAAACCTCAGCCTCGCGCGACATCCCGCTGCTCCCTTGGAGGCTGCTGCGGAGCAACCCACCCACCTGCCTTTCGGTCTCGAAGCCCAACTGAGCTCGCCCACAGCAATGCTGCAAACCCTGACAGTCCCTAAAAAGAGTCAGATCTAACTGGGATTAGCAGAAAGGTGACAAGGGAGCCCCATCTCCTTAGGGCACAATAAATGACGGGTGCCAACGTGCCCGGATGCAGCTTGCTTATTCGGCATAACGCTGGCTTGTGCTCTCGTCTACCAAATCTATGGGGGGGAGAAGCACCTTGCATGGCGAAGGAAGATGTGACATGCTAAGGAGAGCAGCCCAGCGGGGTTTCAAGGAGGGCCACCTGCACACTTGCCCTCAGGAACTGCTCCACCACGAGGGACCGCAGGTGGAGACAACTCCTCTTGCGCTGCCTCAGCACCACGAACAAATAATTCCTCCGAGGACCGTAACTCTCCTAAAGAGCCTGATTGAAAGACCAGCTTTACAGTACGGCAATTCGAGCACCACTAACTAGATTTGTTTCTTATAAATATCGAAGAACTTGCAGGCAGCGGGCTAATGAGCTGGCATGTGCTGCCACCGATCTCTCCATCTGCTCCAGGGCTGGGGTCCTCCCCTCAATGCTCTCCTCCAAGCTAGCTCCAGGTTGGAGTTGGCCTCGGACAACACCTCCTGTCTCCACGAGCCTTGGGGATGGAGACAATCTGTGGGGAGATGGGTGGTGGTGGCTGGGATGTCCACCTAGGTCACAAGGACAGTGTGGCCACCTCAAAGCAGGCCAGAACCTTTGGCTGGACGTTTCCCAACCTGCTTGCCCAGCAAGGACCTCATGCAGGGTGAAAGCTGGGGCTGAGCAACGCCTTTTATCTACACCCTTATGGACAGACGCCGCGTGGCCCCTTCCTCCCCAGTCCTCAGGAGAGGCAAAAAATACAAAATAATAAAAAAAAACAATAAAGAACCAACCCCAAAACAACCCCGAACCCAGGAGGAAGCTGAGCAGAGAGGGCTCCG